AAATATAACAAATTATTTATGAAATAAACTTCTGAATATGAGATAAATATTTTTAAATCGTTGTTGAGATATTTAATTTATATATTCATAATTAACCCGTTTGCTACAAAAATCGACTTAAGACGACATCGACCATTCCTTCCAATATTTATTACTCTGAGTTAATCTATTGATTATTCCTACTTAATTAACTAATAATTAAATAATTATTAAAGTGGCTCTTAGTTTATGGGAAGTGTATTATAATGATGTATCATTATAACACTATAATCATTATAATGATTGGGAAATCTTAAAATATTATGTGTAACAAATACTTGGGCGGCATGCTGGCTCGTACAGCAGTGTTACTCTTGCGAAAAACGCTCTTGCAACTAAAGAGTTAACCCTTTCCACTCGCGAATTGCGGAGCGGCGGCATCCAAATAGAAAGGGTTAAGTGTTGTATTTAGAACGAATTTTTGATATTTTAAACTTATTAGCATTAGGTTTACAAACGCAATCGGCTTATAGACCTGATTATAGTAAGGTAGCATAAATGTTCTTATTATTAAAAATTTGTCCAATATTCATATTTTCTATTTCCCAATTTCCTAAGTTAAGCTAATATTGTGGGTTTACCATATGAAGTAAAGTTTTTCCTATCTAAGGTACTAATCCTGTTTAAGGATCCCCGTTTTTCATGTGTCCCCAGTGGCGCAATTGGTTAGCGCACGGTACTTATAAGACAGTAGATTCGTGAGCAATGCCGGGGTTGTGAGTTCGAGCCTCACCTGGGGAAAATATTTTTTTTAGGCAAATGGATTTTAGCAGATATTGAATATTGTCAAATTATACTTTGTTTAATATCTAGAAAACCTAAATATTTTTCCAAAAACATATCTCAACCTGTTTAGATTGAAAATTTCACAACTGTAGCTCAAGGTACTCTAGTGAGTGTTCTAGAAAAAAATTGCCCTTTTTTGAAGAATCTGAAAAAAATTTGATTTTTTTAAAAATTTGAATTTTTTTGAAAATATTGAACTGTTTTTCAAAACAATCGCATCCCGTAGCTGTTTTGAAGACAAAATATCGAAGCGAATAATCATTGGTACGGAACCCAGGTTTATTCAATTCTTTTGTTTATTATTAAAATCTCTATAAAATATCTGATAATTTGATGCGCATCTGTTCACTGATCATTTTTTAGCGCAAAATGGTACTTTTTTACTTTTTCTATTGGATCTCTGAAACCTATAGGACCTGCTTTTCCCAAAATTTAATCTATTCTTCATTCCATCCATACAAAGGTAACATGCCTTATTGCCTTTTGAATCATTCAAATCGTACGCTCCATTCCGTCAAAAACTGAATTACCATTCTTGATACTTTTTGTCTATAGATTTATTATTATTTTGTCTATAGACAAAAAATATCAAGAATGGTAATTCAGTGTTTGATACTTTTTGTCTATAGATTTATTATTATAGTTTATTTTAGTTTAGTTTTTGGCTATAGACAAAAAGTATCAAGAATGGTAATTCAGTTTGTGAGAGAATGGAGCGTCCGATTTAAATGATTCAAAAGGCATGTTACTTTTGTATGGATGGAATGAAGAATAGATTAAATTTTTGGAAAAGCAGGTCTAGGGGTTTAGGAGATCCAATAGAAAAAGCAAAATAAGTGCAATTTTGCGCTAAAAAATGATTACTATAGTATCTTTAAAACGAATGGATCTACTTTGGTAAAAAAAACTAGTCAGTCTCCCCATCAATAGGAATCGAATATGTTTTTGAATCATTCAAATCGGTTGATCCGTGTTCTCAAAATCATCCACGAAAGGTTGTATGCGCACATACATACATACACACACACATACATCATATATTCATTTTTTCTATGGAATATAATGAGAAACCAGCGATTGTAATTAATATAAAATATCATTGAAAAAAAAATAATGATATGAGTAACACTCTATATTTTATGAAACCACCCCTTTCGAAAAACTGTACTCTTTATTGTTGATGGTGTTTTCATTTGCTAATATTATAATAATTCTTTGAAAAAAATAGAGTAAAATCTCTATAGTTTACAATTATAACTAATATATATATTATATACTAGAGTAAAATCTCTATAGTTTACAATTATAACTAATATATATATTAGTTATAATTGTAAACTATAGAGATTTTACTCTATTTTTTCTCAAAGAATTATTATAATATTAGCAAATGAAAACACCATCAACAATAAATGGAGTGTCGAAATATTTTCAATATCAGATAACTCGCCTTATCTCCTTATTTAGGCAAGTCATAGAGGAGGATGCATGGTGTTCTTAAATTATACACTATATATTTAATTTATTCATAGGATTTGTGGGAATCAAATTAAATATAATATATTTTAAAACATTTTTTTAAATAAAATGTGGAGAACTGCGATAAAGTGCAAGAAATTACTAATAACCACGCGAAACAAATAGCCAAGTATCTGCTTACCACAAATTCAACTAGACATCTTAAAAGAAAACGATTTCTAGACTTTTTTTTAAAAAAGATGTGGATAATTGCAACCAAGTTCAAAGAATTACTAGAAAATCACCCAAAACAAATAGCCAAGTATCTGCTGACCACAAATTTAACTAGACATCTTAAAAAAAATGATCTTTAGACTTTTTTGAAGAATTGCAACCAAGTGCAAGCAATTACTAGAAAAACACCCAAAACAAATAGCCAAGTATCTGCTGAGCACAAATTCAACTAGACATTTAAAAAAAAAAGATTTTGAGAATTTTATCTAATAAGATGTAGAGAATTGCAATCAAGTGCAAGAAATTACTAGAAAAATACCCAAATCAACTAGCCATCAAATATTTGCTGACCATAAATTCAACTAGACATTTTAGAAGAAAAAAGATTTCTAGACTTTTTTTTTTAATAAGATTTTATTTAATAAGGTGCGAAGAATTGCAACCAAGTGCAAGGAGTTACTAGAAAAACTCCCAAAACAAATAATCAAGTTGTCTGTTGATCACAATTTCAACTATACTAGATCTTAAAGAGAAATGATCTCTAGACTTAGCTAGTCTTATAAATAATTGAGGTTTAATTAAGGCGAATTGTTTTCTATTTTATCCTTAAGCTCAAATTTAAAATACTTACTGTTGGGAAACATTTTACCATCCTTCCACTCTAAAATTACTAAATGCTTTCCTAAGCACATTGTAATTACTTACAAGTAGAAGTAAATGCTTTCCTAATCAGATTATAATTACTTAAATAGAAGTAAATAAATTAAGTTGTTACATTAAATGATTGTAAATGCAAGGATTACTAAAGACTCATTTTCACTCTGTAGGCATCCGACTCTGGATTCTTAAAATGTATGTTTTTTGAAAATGCAAAATGTAGACTATAGTTTATTACATTATAGTGCAAACTATAATCTTTTCAATAATATTTTAACTATGAGTCTAATTCTTTATAATTTTATAGTTATAAATTGTTCTGTTACACCCAGTTGCTGGAGCAACATTGTTGCATTCAACCATTAAGTGGGGATTTCTTACATGTTGGCATAACGATCCTTTGTAAAAATATTTAGTAGCATTTCGATAGTCTTACTTGGTGGTCTATGTATTTCGTATTTTTGTAAATATTAATATTTTCAATGGAAAACGACAAGAATAAATTATGTTTACTGTGTAAATCAAAGTTTGAAACTGAAATAACATATGAAATGATAATGCTGGGAAAAGAGACCAAGAGGAAAAATCTTTCAATGCACCATTTTTGTATCGTAAGTTTTATTATAATTTTACTTTATGCATTATTAATGAGCAATTTTCTATCGAGGTGTAAGTGTAATTGTGCCTTAAGGCAGTTGCATGAATTCTCAGCGGATATGTGTAAATAATCGTGTTAATTAATAAGAAAATAGTTTTAGCTATTTATAAATATAATTTTCAACTACTAATTTCGAAAATATTGTTTTTTTAGATGCATTAAAACTATTCAATGCAATTTCCAATTGATATCTTTCAAACAAAGACTTTATGATATTAAACTTTAGTTTTTTTCTGTAAAACTACTATTTGGACAATGATATTTATTTTTTTTAGACTGTATAAATTCTATACAATGTTGCATTAAAAATTTTACTTACGAAAAAATGGCACGGCTAATCTGTATCCGGAACTTGTCAGTCTTCTTCCGGAAAGTTTTTGAATTTTCACAGTCGATTTAGGATTTTTAGCAAAAAAAATTTAAAGTTCACGGTTAAGTATAAAGAAACCGCTTGGCTGATCGTCTCGCAAAACTAATAAGCGCAAGATATTATCGAGTTTTATCAAATGGCTTGTAAATTTTTGTAATCGGTGCAGCCATTTTTAAGGAAATGTCAATGAAGTTATTCATAAGTCATATATTGACACAAACACACCCATTTTTTTTCAATTTTGGTGTAAAACGATTCAGAATGACTTGAAAAGTTGTGAAAATATGAAAAAAGCAAATCGGATTTTCTAAAGCGGAAAAAACTTTTTCAGAACTTTTCTAACTAAACAAATTATTTTTTTTATTTGGATTATTTTTTTTAATGTTGCCAACCCGCAGCAATTCTCCGACGCAGTTTGCTCCAGTGCAGGAATCAGAACTGGAGATTTAATTGATTGTCATAATGCATCATTACTAAGGGTTAGTATTAATATTTAATAATATTCAAATATCATATTTAATTATTTTTTTGTTCAATTAATATGTTCTTTAGAAATGCGCTTATTGTAAAAACTACGGCGCCGCAAGCACTTGTCGGTTTCGTGGATGTACCGTACGTTATCATATGATTTGCGGTATTAGAAAAAATGCTAAATTTGAGTATTTTGGGCAATTTAAGTAAGTTCATTAATATCTAATTCAGATATATCTAATCTATATGTAAATAAAAAAACTGTAATATATTTTCTCGCTTTATCCTAGAACATTTTGTCATAATCATCACTACCAACAAGAGAGTATGCCGCTGCATCCCACAGTATTTGGAAGTATATGTATGCCAAATGAATACATTTGCTTTTGTGGAAAACGTGTAACACCTTTTCTAAACATTTACGTCCCTTGTTGCAACAAGTGGGCTCATCGTCATTGTTTACAGGTACTTTTATTGAATAGTAAACCCCAACAAAATTATTAGTTCAATGTTAAATTTTTAGTTTTGGGCATATTCATCTGCTTCACTTGTGTCATGTCCTATGTGCAAAAACACTGATGATTTTTGTGCAGAATTGAGAAATATTGGGATTTATATTCCCGAACAGTAAGTGTATAGATCCCCATATATCAACTTATTCCTTTTATATTAATATGATGTAATAAAATAAATCTATTTTTAAGAGATGCTTCTTGGGAATTCAATAATGCTTTTAACTACTTATACCAAAAGAAAAAGCAGTGTATTGCTGATGTATGTAAACATTCAAAATCTCGCAGTTTTTCTAGAGAAAATAGGTGAGTTAATTGAATTCTATTGAGTAAAATGATTGTCGAAGTTATTAGTAAATATATTTATTTAAATTTGTTGTAATTGTATCAATTATTGCTCTTACATTGCCATAATTCATTTAGATTATTAGATGAATAGATAATGCAATTACAATCAATCATTTAAATAACTAGGTTCACTATTAAGTAGAAAATAATAATATTGAAAGTTTTCTATTTCATATGAGGACTAAATATATTCACAGCAATTCTAAAATTATATGCCATTCACATGGCATTAAACATAAATTTCAAAGACATTTTGAATTAAACGTAAAGTTATCTCATATAAACGAAATAGTTTTAAATAATTATCTTAATATTTTTGTATTATTCGGTAGATTACAGTAATTACAAGATATGTATAAAATGAATGTATGCTTTATACAAAACACCTGCAATGTTTGATTTTCGCGCGTCTCCTGAGCGCTACAGGTGTGAAGTTCGTGAACTATTGGAGTAAATAATAAATGATAACGCAACAAAACCGACGCCACTATTTTGCACGTGTTTATAAAAGAGGGTTATGAACAGTTACGAATATAATTTAGTCCTCAGAAGTAATAATATATTGCAATTCGTTTTTCGTAGTTTATTTTTGAAACACGCATCTTGAATCATTTATAAGTCTATCAAATATTGTACGATTTTTGACGCGAATGTTACGTGTTGTGTAGAAGTTGTATAAGAATCAATTTTTGCCATCGTAGAAAAGGTATTGTAGATTTTATAGAATTAGAATGTAGAATTATTCTGTTTTGGTAACATTATTGTCGTACGTTTTGTTTAGTCTAATTGTCTATTCCCCTAACTTTATTTGCGGGACTTAAGTTGTTTCTCACAAGAGACGTGAATCCTATGTGAATCCTCTACTTAGACTAAGAGTAATATTATCAGAATTAATTCTTGCCCTATTAGAATCCTTTAAGTCTCCTACCTGACTTGATTCATTTACTTGTTTTTCTAAACTTTAAAAAGACAACTTTTTTTTACCATCCTAGAATCTTATAAATAAGATAAGCCAGGTTTTACTTCATGAGCTATTTGTAGAAATTGAAATATTCTATATTTTGATACCGTACAACATACACAAAGTTTTTTTTAGAACAATTGCCTCTAGATATTTCATATTTTCCTAAAGTTGATTCCGGTATGAGAAGTGTTCAATAATAGAATTTTTTTTTTGCAGTGAGTGGAAAATTTTAATATGCATGTTTTGCGGATCAAATGGATGCCATATAAAATGTTTACCTGAACCATTGACAGATATATCAGAATATGCTTGCACAATTTGCAAAAGGATCGTAAGTATATATTAATTGAACATTTATTAATAGTGTTAAATTATAAAATTCTAATTGTATCTGGTTCATGGTTTTGGTTCTTTTTCCAGTGAACAACAGATAGCCGGCTTTTTGATAATCATTATAAAATGAATTGTGTTCCCTTACTTATTTGTAAAAATATTATGAATGAAATTTGGTATCTATTGTGAGAAAAATATTATGAAGTAATTAAATTTGTGATTTATTAAATAAACTTATCATCATACTGATTATAGTTTGTGTAACCACTTCCATTTAATTCAAGTCTAGTCTTGCTACTCAAAATAGTTAAATTTTATAAAACGGGAATAAAAGTAATCCACGGTATTGAAAGACAACTGTAATACCAATCAACAAAGTCCATTCACATGTTTTGCCTAAATATTACTAAATATCAGACATTCATTATAAATTTGCGGTATGATCTATAAATAATAGCACATCATTTTATTTCATTAAGTTTTATTACAATTCTTATAAAAATTGCCTTCTTTAAAACAATATAAGCTATGAATGCATAATAATTTAAAAAGTTTTCAAACTATAACTAGGACATATATAACGCATATGCATTCATAATCTAATTAAGTGTCCTTATGAAAAAGTATATCTAAAGTGCTCAACCAGCGAGCCATTGAGGGTGAAAATTTGTCTATGCATATTTATCGAAGTCGATTTATCCATAAATCACTTAAATTGAAATGTATTTATATGCATATATAATAATTAGGTAGACTTTGAGATACTTTGACTTAGAAAAGAAATTTTAAAGTAGTTGTGAAAAAATATGTAATGAAAATTACATTTGGGAAAAATGACAAGTTACAATTACATTATTTGCTTATTATTGAGTTTGTTTCAAAATTTTTAACAAAATTTGATTTGATCGAAATATGCTTGACTAGGGCTAGGTTCATTTCACATTGTCTTTTAAATAGCTTCTAGTATCAGTTAATAGTATATATTCCGTTATTTGAGAGCCACACCTGCATTTTTATATAAATTTACACTCACCATTAACAAAGCAGATATGTTATTCAGAAATCTTTTGGATAAACAAATTTGAGCTTAATATAAACATGTTACCTATTAACGATCTTTGGCAGTATTATTTAGTACCATTTTAACATTGAATTTAATTTATGTATAATTAATACATTTCAAATACACGCACCATCATCATTATACAAATAAAATTTAGCATATATCTATAGATAATTACTATCATAACATGAAAATTTTGCCAGCAAAAATCATCAAACATTGTATATAAAGTTGTATAATTAAAATTACCTTATAATATTTTCAAATAATTAAATATATGTATATCAGGCAAATTTAATATATTGGTAATCTGGTAAAATATTGACATACTCACAAATATAGGGAAAAAAACGTAGAAAACGTGAATGAAATCTTTATCATTCATTTATTAAAGATATTAATTTGAATAAAAATTGTATTTATACCATTATTCACCAGATATATTACAATATATTTGACATACTATATATTCAAATTTCTAAAGTACAGCACTTAAAACTGTCAGTCATATTATTAAATTTATTTTTATTATTTCACATTGATCATATAAAATGTAAAAATGGTGGAGTATTACTTATGAACTTTTCATAGAGCACATGTTACCGGCTATAAAATAATAAGCACATTTATTATTAATATTCTATTTGTAAAAGTTGTGCAATGCATTATCACATTACTAAACATCCATTAATTTTTTATTTTGAAATGTTACACATAGTTTACTGTGCTATGTTAGTAGTTAAACAAAAAATTAAATTTACTTGCGTGTTCATAAATCTCAATCAATTTTTTAATAACATTATACTTTTAAATTTGATTTATACATCAAAATGTCTTAATAACATAAATGAGATCTCATGCTTAACTCCAAACATTTTGCAAGAATATCTTGCTTGTCATTATTTCAATAATAATTTCCTAAAATTACTGAAAGTAGCAGTACTTCCAAAGTTATATTGAAATTTATTGATAAATGAATGTTAAATGTCCTTCAGTAATAAAATTTATTTTCATTAATTTTTATTTTGAAATATAGTCCTGACTTTGCTATGCTTTTTTGGTAACTTGTTTAGTTGTGCGTGAAACTAAAATGAAATAACTTAAAATATTCAATTGTAATGCTCGTGTTTTTTAATTAATTTATGGGGGCTTGTGTACATTACTAGACTGCTTTTTTGTTTCAGAGCTACCTGTTTCATCAGGCAATACCTGCTGTTCCGGCATGTCTGGAAGTCGAATGAAAGGTAAGCCTGATCTTTCATGTCCGCTCCACATACTGTACAGGAATGGCATTTGGCCCTAAAATAACAGAGAATATCGTAATTTTGATTTGTCTTTTTAGACTTTCTTTCAAAAATAGATAAGATTAATAAAAAAATCTTTTAAATAAAAATAATCCTCTATTTATTCATTCAATTTCAAATCAATCACTGCATGCAGACCGGTACTATTATACAGAAAATAATTCTATTTAAATAATTGGAGTAATTCTTGTTTATAAAAAGCAACTTAAATATATTCATACCGTATCTTGATGATAGTGATATGGTTCACTGCTCTGACTTGGCACGGGTGGTTGATTTGTGGTTTGAATGTGTGAATGATAAGATGGTTGTTGTTGGCTGGTGAGCTGATTGTATGGTCTGATTCCAGGTCTGCAGGACAATAATTGAATAGCCTCTGCTAAGCCATCCTGACTTCCGCTGGATGGCTGCCAAATTGAATCTATAATAATAGTAGATTTTGAGTTAATTTTATAGTAGTATTCTATTGAATTACATAATTAAGAAGGTTAAGTGCTCACTTTAAAAGTCGTGTCTGAGCCATATATAAGTATATGAAAACCACATGTTATGTGTATATATAACAGATCACCCAATAACATCATAAGATTATTTATATTTGGATATTAAAATTTTGAATAATTCGAAGTTGAAATGCGGACTTTAGTATTGTTATATGTATGTTATATTGCAGACCATGGAAATACTAAAGTCCGCGTTCCATATATTCCGCGTAAATATATTTAAAAAATATATATCTTACCAGGTGTGGTTGATCTGCTGCGATCACTGCAAGACGTCGTAGTGCCGCTGCCTCCTCCAACTGGGACGCTCAATTTGGATACTCCCCCAACTGCTCCCAAACCTCTGGCCGTCGCTCCCGCGCTTATTTGGGCTTGGTGCTGAGGATGAGGATAGTGGCAACCACTAGCATGTGATGTCACATGGTGATAATGTGGCGGATAGTAATGATATCGGCCATGAGGTGCAGCGACATGTGCAGAATCCCAGGGCATGGACCAGCGACGCATGGACGCATCTTCACCGCCTGCGGTACCACTGGCCTGGGGGACAGATGATATATGATTAAATCATATCTTCATGATCACATATATCAGAAGAAATGTGACTAGAAACACTAGATATGAGCAGCAAGAAATAACAGCGCCTTTTTAAATTATTATTATAACATACCTCCGCTGCTGCTGCTTCCGACCATCGTCTTTGACCTTGGAGTAGAGGAAATAATGGAAAATGAAGAGGGCTTCTAAGACCCCTTGAAGCACCTCCTGTTCCACTACCGCCGTGGAAAGGTGCTTTCATACCTTGTAGTAAACCAGGATTGGGCAATGGCCCTCGCATATGTTCCAAATGACTACTTCCTCTAAAAGTTTAATTTTCAAGACAGTAAGTATTTAGTGTTTGTATAAATTATGATCTATTTTTCATATAATTCAATTACATAAAAATACCTTATTGTATCAAGAAATCCTTGTATTGGACTAGGACCTCTTGGATGTTCTACTGGAGATGGCCCTCTAAATGGTGGAGGGGTTTCATGATATCCACCACCACCTCTGGCAGACTCATGAAGGGGCATTCCATGATGTTGATGCTCATAGTGTGCTCTTCATAATGATAAGGTAAATATATATTTAAATATAATATTATTGTTTTAAACTAGGATAAAATTAGTGAGTTTATTATCCTTACCTTTCCCTTTCAGCTGCACTTTTGGGGCTATCAGCCATTCCCTGTGGAGGATATTCTCCTGATGAACATTGACACATGTCTGCCAGTGAAAGACACTCGAAACAGGCAATGCAAAATTGATACTGTAAGTTCACTAGTGTGGATATGTTGTCAGCGATAATTTGCTACATTAAAAGAAAAATAAGAATAATATCATTAGTTGATAATTAGAATTATATTTGAAGTAATTTTCGAATAATTTGATAATAGTTGATAAAAATATTCTGATACTTATATATTTGTTAGATTATTTATATATCATTTATTTGGAAAATTTATATTATATTTATCTCACATAGTTGTTATCTCTCATAGCTCCAATCTGTTCGGCAGCTCCTTCGGCCTGGGGATGCTGTTGCTGAGGTATAGATGAATATTCTTGTAGCAGGGCTACAATGTGACATTTAACAGTGGCAGTTGCCACAGCTGTAGAACGCGCCAGCTCATCCCAACCAGTCAAGGCAGGTAATAGCGGAGGGGGACCGGTCATAAATGCACCTCCTGTAAGTACAAAAAAAACTTATTATTTATATTCATTATTTATTATCACAAAGTTCTATAAGAATTATCATATATGATTCCTTTCTCATTATGTTATTATAAATTCAACACCACAAATTTTACAATGTTCAATATTGATATATAAATTGAGAAAGGCTTAATTGCCAATTAAGGCATCGGATTTTCTTCTCAAAAAAGTTGAAAAACATATTTACATCTAATTTACCTGAAGTCCCACTAATTCCTTCGGAACTGAGTGAGCCACTTGTTGCTCCACCACTAAGAACATTTAATCCGGGTTGTGAAGCACCTGAAAAACTGTGCCCACTCATACCTAAAGGTGTTTGAGTCGCAGATTGGTCTGGTGTACAATGTGCCAGAGTAGATAAGGATTGCGATAATTTGAAACCGGCAGTACATAATGAATTTAAAATCTGTAGAATATATAAACAAATTAATAGTAATACTAATATTGATATTAGTTTATTCTGAGAAATCTTCATTATTTACCTACTTTCATGTTTACTAACAATGACAATATCATTGTGTTTCATATTTATACTACTTTATAGATAAGTATCGGTAATAGACATTGGAATGGAATTATTTAATTATTATCACCTGTAAGTAATTGAGCCAAGAACTTAAACATTCTGATACAGCAGTCTTTGTGCTGCTAGAAGAACTCGAACTAGTGCTAGGTGATACAGATGATGAAGTATTTACACTTCCTATATGTCCTCCAATAAAACTAAAAGAGGTTCTGGGACTCGCTTGAGCTTCCTCACCTCTACTTTGAGGTCTATCGGTATCACTCATTATTACTTATTTTATGCAATCTGAGTAAAAATGATTTTGCACAATTTTCCACATTTTTTAAGAATAGGTTTATTATTCTAACTCTTTTATGGTCATGGATGGTTATTTTTTATTATGAGGCAAAAACTTATATAACTATTTGAGTAATTAATTAAATAGTTTACATTTCACTTTATACTGGATTTGTTCAATGTTTGTGTTGCTATGCAAAGTTACACTTTTGAGATACATGTATACACAAGAAGTTTTATCATTACTTCGTTTTGAAACTCTATCGAATAACCATTGAATCATGATTTATTGAGTCATTAATTTGCGTAATATAATAGAATATTTTTATATTATTATTTTCTTTCAGGTTATATTTTTTAAGAAGCACTAAGACTTCTTATATAATTCGTTTGATGCATTTTTTAAATTCTATATATAATTTAAATATGTAGTGATTAGTATGCACAATATAAAAAATTTTTTACATCATTGAATATTTTAATTGAACTGTTGGTTAATTATTCATTATGTTTTAATTTGAGGTTATATGAATAAATTAAAATTTAATAATCAATGTTAAATATAAAAAACTATAGTTCATAATTGGTGATAAACATACATATTTCTAAATGTTATTATTTATATTTTAAATATTTGAAACTTCTCACATATGTAAATATTATAACGTCAAAGTTGACATAAGGCCTACCGATATGTCACAGTAGTTTCCTTTTTGGTCGCTAGTTGCTCGAGGGCGATCCTTGATTATATAAATAAATATGGATAGAATATAACTTCAAGTAATTTTGCCACATAGAAATTCAAAATTATTAAAATAATTATAATCGCAATTTATAAATAATAATATCAGGGTCAGGTTAAGACAACAGTTTATTCTACATTAGTCTTCAATTAATAGATCAGATAAAATAATAATTTAAAATTATTATCATATATTAAGCAAATAAGAATAAATAAGACTTAATATATCATGATTCAATGGTTATTTGAGAGAGTTTTAAAACAAAATAATAAAACTTTTTATGTGTACATGTATTTTGAAAGTACAAATAGAACAAATCCAGAATAAAGTGAAATTTAAACTATTTAATTACTCTAATAGTTGTATAAGTTTTTGCCTCATAATAAAAAATAACAATCTGTGACCATAAAAGAGTTAAATAATATTACAATTCTTAGAATAATATTATAGTATTCTATAGATTAATCACTGGCAATGTTTTAAAAATGGAAGATCAGATTATTTTACATTCTTGAAGTTTTTAGTTGTTTGTAGAAGAAACAAACAGACTAGATAAATTAACATGGGCAAACTAACATACAAATAGGTTTCATTGTGAAAGCTTTAGAGTTTGCTTTAGAGCTTTTATTTAGTTCATAACATTTTGAGATACACCAAGTAATACAAATAAAATCTGAATCTTATTTTGGCTGTTATTTATCGGTATTTGTTGTAATTAATTGCAAATAGTCAATTCTTGGAAATACTTAAACTTATTATAGTCCAGTCATTTAAGCATAAATTAGGTAAGAATCTCTGAATTAGAGATACCCAGTTGTAAGTCTGTAAATACTTGTATATTGACACTAAAATGTTTCCTAAGTTAAAGTTAGGGTGTACCTAGCTGGGTATCTCGAATCCCGAGGTAAACTTACTCTAATGACTGGACTATTACAAACACTCTATACTCTTCTTTTATCTATGATTACAAATAAGTTGAAGTGAGCTGTTTTAAATGTTGCCAACTTGACACTATGAAAGACACTATATTTATTTTGAAGGCATTTTTTACATTTTCTTTTATTGAATCTAATTTATGTCGTATTTTGTGATTTATTCATAGAAATTGAGGATGTCATTAATTAAATTCAAGTTTTTTTTTAAAATTATTAATGACGACGTAATTTATATTAAAATAAAGTACAAAAAACATTTTACTTAGGTGGTAAATAATTGAGAATTTACGAATATAATGCGAGTTATAAGAAATGTATTTACCAAGTTTCATTTTTTTTTTAAATCTGTTTTTTTGGATTTACTTGCTTTATGACGTTGTCAACACAAACAAACAATTGTCCCGCCATGCACGTATAGAGAACGCGCGCGCTTGTGTATCCCGTTATTTTTTAAAATATATTACGCGGCTCCTCGCCAAAGAGAAAGGCAAAAAACAATTTCAACAAAATGCTTTTGCGTCAGTCACTTCACGAACTCCAATGTGGAAAGTCTTCTTAAACATGTTTTGCTCCGTTGTTGTGTTCCATTTGCAACAATAGTAGAAAAATTAAAGCTAACTTTTCAATTATTAAAGACTTTTAACGGCTATCAGTGGTTGATAAACGATAAAAAATTGTGAATTTATTTCTTTCAAGTGTCAAATGTGTAAATAAAATTATTATTATAAAATCGTGTGCATGTGTTTGTGTCAAAAAGGTTAAAATTGATTAAAACTCATATTTTGAGCAATCATGCAAGAATATGTTTGGATTTTGCTCGCATGTGCTTTAAGTGCACATCTAGTATACTGTCAAGGTAATGTTTTACTTTTATTTATATATTCATATTCGATACATGTGTATAGAAACTTGTTTTGCACTTGAAAGTACGACCGAAGCACGTTGAAGTTACTAGAAAAATATATATTAACTATAGGTCATTCATGAATTTTTGATCTAATTCATTGATTATAATAACGTACTTTTGAAGCTTATTTTTGGCGGAACTTTTACCTGCAAACAGATTTCCTCCATTTTCCATATTGTTCTTGTATTTTGACACGACGCGGGCTTCAGCACAACCCCTGACCTCCTCCGAGAAAAAAATGGTATTTATAATGCTGTTTTTTTTCTAGGGTGATGACAGAAGTAGTATTGAATCCAGAGTAGTACAAATAAAATAATAATACTGTAATATTGGTTATAATAATTATTATACCCAATATTACAGTATTATTATTTAAAGTTTTTAAAGTACTTTAGAAACTTATTTTCGGCAGAACTTTTATCTACAATCAGATTACTTCTAGTTTTTCTATATTGTTCTTGTATGTTGACACTACTCGGGCTTCAACACCATCTCTTTTCTCCTCCGAGAAAAACATATTATTAATAATAGCATTTTTTCTAGGGGATGAATGGAGTTGTATTGAAGCTAGAGTAGTGCACAAATGAAAAAAATAATACTGAATTATTGGTTATAACGAAGTATGTTACCTCGATTTTCTATATTGCTCTTGTATTTTGACACTACGCGGGCTTCAACACCATCCCTGACCTCCTCCGAGAAAAAAATTGTATTAATAAGAGCATTTTTTCTTAGAGGATGCCATGGGTAGTATTGAAGCCAGAGTAGTAAATAAGCAATTCGCTTTCGTTTGCAGAATTTGATTTTTGGATATTATATTTTTATATACGATAGAAATTTGTGTCTGATTTATTGAAATATTTGTGACATAGTGAATGCTTTCTTCGATTTATGCTTATTAACTTATTTCTTACATTATGATTTTTGGTCACTAAATTAGATAGAAAGATATTTTTTAACCTTGATGAATTATCAATTATCAGCATTATTGTTTTGTAAGCCCCAGGGATAAAGTTAATAGAATTTTGGAGCTTATTTTTTAATGATCTATATTAATTCTAGTCTGTTCTTGTAATTTTCCGGAGCTTTTTGACTCTAATATGACTCCTACAAATACTCATAAAAAAACAACACAAACAAAAATGTTCTTCGTTTTTACAGAATTTGGCTTTTGGATCTTTTAGATATAAAATAAAATATTATTTTTAACATATTAAATAGAAACTTGGAGTTGTCTTTCTGATCTATCTAAATATTTTTGCTGGTGTAATGACATAGTAACTACCTTTTTCAAGTTGCTTTTTATTTACTACCTATCTCTGTTCCAAATCCAGATAGAAAAATCACTATTTATTTGGGTCATTGATGAATTGTCCATTATAGTATTACTGTTTCGAAAACTTGGGATGTATTGTCTTTTGGAGCTTATTTTTGGCGAAAATTTCTCTTTCACATGGATTACCTGGATATTCTGAACTATTTTTATAATTTTTTGACGCTTTCTGGACTTCAATACCACCTCTAAAGAAAAATCACTATTTACTATAAACATTGATGAATTGTCCATTATAGTATTATTGTTTCGAAAACTTGGGATGTATTGACTTCTCGAGATTGATTTTGGCAAAAAATTTTACATGAATTACCTGGATATCCTAAACTATTTTTACAATTTTTGGCGCTTTGTGGACATCAATACCACACCAGCCATCTTCCAAGGATAAATTAGTATTATCCATCACAGATTACCAAAAAGAAATTTGCTTTCTTTCTACGGACTTAGATTTTTTGACTTTCTATTTATTATTTTTTATATATTTTATAACTTTATTACTTTGATGATTTTTTTGTCCTAAACCAGTTATTACTAACATTTGGCACAGAAGTTAGTGAAAGCGCACTAGAATAATAAGATGAGTCCAACTTGTGGTTTATCAAGTTAATAATAGTCAATTATTCTCAATGATTGTAACGAAATCTCGATATATAATTTACCATTTATTTCGAAGATAATTGTTAGTAGTTAGTTTTGCGTCGGTTGCAAATTAAGAGAGAGTTTATAATGAACTTGGAACCAGTGTATAGTATTTATATTTACTTTTTTCATATAAGGTAAATGGTGAAATAATTTAAAAGTAAATAGCAGTAATAAAAAATTATAGAATAATTATATAAGTCAGACCTTTAGGGATCTTTTATTCGAACCAATACTCTAAGAGCTAATTAACAGCTTTAGTTCTTTAATGTCTTCAGAACAAACAGAAATTTTTGAAAATTAAATATTTCTGATACCATAAAGATATCTGAAAAACGTTCAAATATTTTTGACATATAAAAAAATAATTTTGCTCACTCTATAACCATGCATAGAAATAATTATATTTGGCTTATATTTATAAACTTG